CATAGAAACCAATCAGCTTCCAGGTTTCATTGCCAAAGCTTCATTGAACAAGCTGAGGTTAGAAGCTGATTGGTTTCGATGCAGAAGGGAGTCTGATTTTGGACTCTCCAGCATTAGTAAATAAACCCCAAAATGTCTGTGGTACTACAAATCACAGCAATACCAAAGTGATATAAGTATTAGTGCTCATCGTCTGGTGAAGAATTCTGTGGTACTACAAAGTACAGCAAGACTGAGTGGGAAATTCAAAAGGTGCTCATAATTCAGTGTGGGGATCCAACACCTCTTATGGATATGCACTCACCAGAATCCTACTGGTATAGTAGCATTTGTGCTGATCCTATAGAAGATCTCACAAAGCCATATACAGGGACCGGACTTCTCCAAAGAATAGACTTATGGAAACCAATAAAAGGATCCTCCTAGAGGGAAATGCTCACCACAGGAGCCCAAGGTATGGCATATAGTGTAGTAATTTATTAAAAGCTTTAAAATACAATCCGTGTGGAAACAAACATTCATATGTGTATACCACACATACCAAGATGGTAGCCACTCCGACCTCTGGCCGTGGCGGCGTGACGTCAGCACGTAAGGCTCCACCCAATGAATTTCGTGTGCATGCACATCCTCAGGGGTACGCCCACTCGTACAAAACGCGTTGGGTAAAGCCTTACATGCTGACGTCATGCCACCGTGGCCGGAGCTTGGAGCATTGGCCATCTTGGTATGTGTTGTATGTATTATGAATGTTTGTATCCACGTGGATTGCACTTTAAAGCTTTAGACTGACTGGCAGCACTGCTGGGCACTGATGGGTGGCACTGATGGACACTGATGGGTGCAACTGCTTGTACAGCACTGCTGGGGGGCACTGCTGGGCACTGATGGGTACTGGTGGGTGGCACTGCTGGCCACTGGTGGGTGGCACTGCTGGGCTGCACTGCAGAGCACTGATCATCGGTGCTGATCTGTGAACCGTCACATTTGACGGTTATTGATAGTACTTTCCTCACTCTGTGACAGAGTAAGGAAAGTGCTGCCGATAATTTACTCTGTGATCTGCTGTGTCATTGGACATGGCTGATCATGTGGTAAACACTGAAGCCATCATTCAGCTATAACACGGTTAGCAAGTCATTAAAAATAGACAACATATTTACATTTTAACTGTAGATACTTTTATTTATGTTTATTTTTATATTTATTATCTTGAGGCCCCTAATAGCCCAGCCCAGCACTTGCAAAGACTCTTCATTAAAGTGCTTTTATTTCATTTAATTTGGATCCTGCTAACTAGTGACATTTTCCTATACACTGAGAATTTCTTTTAAAACAACAATGCACTGCATGGCCTTAGAATGATGGCTAGGTTAGAAATCTGAACTTTAATTCTGATTGCTAGCACTTAAGACAATCAACCACTTTGCTGCCTTTTTTGTTTTTAATATTGTTTTTGTAGTTTTTCATTTTATTTTTTGGTTGATTTGTGGTCACTTTTAGCTTCTGTTCTGTCCTTATCAAACTTTTGTTTTTGCTACAAGACCTCTTTAATATTCCATTTTGCTTCAGGGGAACAGTATTTTGGGGGTTTCATTTATTTGGGTTATATTTTTTTTTTTACTTTATGTTGGTAGGGCATTTATTTTCATAAAAACTGCTTTTTTGCACCCATGCTTCCCTTAAAAAAGTGGGCTTTAGGGTGAGGTATTTTGGAATTTTCATTTATCTTGAGGGGTTCTTCGATCTCTATTTTATGTTTATAGGTCTTCTTTAAACTAGGGGTGCCCAACCACAGCATTCACTTTTTACTGGCCATCTTTCTTTTATTCGCAGAGCATTACTGCATAATTTGCAAAAAACAAAAACAAAAAACAACTAATATTGCAAGAACAGAGTACACCTAAACCATCTTACATTCTATTACTCACATTCACCACACACCCTTTTCCCATACATAAAATAAGTATAAACTGGTTAGGCCTTTTCCCTGGTAAAACTGTCCTGCTGCTAGTTTTACACAGCTGTATCCGCTACAGCAATTCTTGTAGTAAAGCCCCAGCCTGTGCTCTGAGTCAATGTTTGCCTTGTCTTGCCATTTAAAAATGTCCTGCTGCTGGGCAATTTTACATTGGTGCAGCATGTATGGTCTCTTAATGCCTAATGAGAGCTTGATAGAAATCAGCCAGCAGTAGAACAGTTTTGCAACAGTGACAGCCACGCCACGGCAATCTAAACAACAATTTTATCAAGCAGTCAAAGAGGATCTATTACCATTGGATGAAAATAAACATGTATGGCTACCTAAAGCTATCTGAAAAAAATCAATTTTTCAAACTGAAATCAGTAAGATTTGGGTGATAATTCTGTATGTAAGGCAAGATAATTGTAAATGATAGCAAAAAAAATCAGTTCTAAATATGAGCTGCCAGTCATTATCCATAAAAAATTGCATTGTTCCGTAACACCTTGTACAGCTTTAGGGCATTCTCCAAGCATGCTATTTAGAATTCTTGCATTTACAGTGATGTACTCAAAACCACCTAAAAACACACTCTGCCCAAAGTACAGTACTTGGGAAAAAAAATGTTGCATCGCCCTGCTTCCAATGCCTTTTTTGGAGGGTAATTTGCCTATAAGTCATAAAAATGTCCAGAACTTAACAAAATTTACCACACATAGACTTCAATGGGATTCACCTCTAAGTTAGGGTTTGCCAAATTTCAAACAAGATTTGCCAAACCATTAGTGAATCAAACCTGGGCAAATTCACCTATCATTAATTATCAGCAAATATCCCACCAAAAATTTTAGTTTTATTTAGATTGCAGTAAAATGTAACTACATGTACGTTATTTTATATGATAAGGTGACTATGTCAGGCTAAAAAAATGTCACTGCAATAGAAGAGCTTTATTTCCTCTATGATGGCCCAAAAATATATGTGTGCATTGCAGCAGGTCAGTGCCCATTTCTTTTTTTTCCTGGCTGGTGACCCTTCAGCATCATCATCTAGCACTTTCCTCCCCAGCCTGACTGTCCTTGGCCATCCCCTTTCAGTCACTGGATTTCACTTCCTTTAATCATGGAGGCTTAGCATTACAGCTAAAAATGCAGCCTGCCTAGGAATGCTCATTCACCCAGACTTACGTACACTCATCAAGGTATTTATATATTTATATAAGTACCTCGAAGGGCCAGTTCATTTCTTGCATCAGGGCTGAGGGTTCTTGAAAGGAGTACTGAGGCAGGGGGCTGTGAAGTTTTCAGAAAACTTTATACAACACCATGGCAGCCCCTCCAACCAGCCAAGATATGCCTCCATTGCATAGAGAAGCACAAATACTCACTGATGACATCAACTTGTCTAAAATAAGGTGTGTAAAGAAAACTGAAAGGTTTTATTTAAAAATTGTGTTCACGTGTTAATGTACTAGGGTTTGGTAAACCATAAGCAGATTATAAGCTACCTGCACACACCAGGGGAGCAGAGAGAACTTTCTGCAACTATTCAATGAGATATGATGTACAGATTCCTTCTTATCCTTTTTCTCTTTTGGGAATAATTGGATATCAGGGACATGATTAATTGAAGCATTGTCCATTCTTGAAGTGGTATCCTCTGATGGTCCCCACCCCACACTTCCTTCTTGTTGGATCAAGTTAGATCGGCGCACAAGAATATGGCATTGTGATTTTTTATTGACTAGTCATTCTTTGAGATTCCCACCCACCATCATTTCATGAAACATGTAAAGATAAATCCTAGGTCTATAAAACATTGAGGTTGCGTTAGTAAAGGCTAATATAGTGTGCACTTTGCAAGTGCAGTTACTTCAGAGCTTAGTAAATGAGGGGAAGCTCTGCTGTCTTCCATCATCCAATCACATGCAAGCAAAATTCTGGGTTTTTTTTATTTTCCAGAATAACCAGGTTGTGAAGAATAAGTTATTTTGTATGCTAAAATAGACCTGGGAAAAGTAGAGGCAGTTATGAACTGACTGCTTGGCTATGTGTAGCACCCTCCTAGTTAGCTAGGGGGAGCTACAATTCTGATTGTCAGAGAGGAGGGCTCAGTAGCAGCCTTGGTGTGATAGCTAGAAGTGGGTTAAATTTGGGTCAGGGCTGAGAGGCTCTTCAGGCAAGCCTCCTGGTGCAAGTCCGAATGAGGAAATGTATGATGCTTGGTTGTACAGGACTATAGGGGGACCTAAATCTTCAGCAAATCCTAAAGGGATAGTTGTACATACAATATATATTGCCAAAAGTATTGGGACACCTGCCTTTACACGCACATGGACGTTAATGACATCCCAGTCTTAGTCCGTAGGGTTCAATTTTGAGTTGGCTCACCCTTTGCAGCTCTAACAGCTTCATTTCTTCTGGGAAGGCTGTCCACAAGGTTTAGGAGTGTGTCTATGGAAATGTTTGACCATTCTTCCAGAAGCGCATTTGTGAGGTCAAGCACTGATGTCTGATGAGAAGGCCTGGCTTTCAGTCTCCACTCTAATTCATCCCAAAGGTGTTCTATCAGGCTGAGGTCAGGATCTGTGCAGGCCACTCAAATTCTTCCACCCCAATCTCGCTCATTCTTGTCTTTATCCAAAATATTGGTATGTTGATGCCTTAATAGTTTCCTTCACTGGAACTAAGGGGCTAAGCCCAACCCCTGAAAAACAACCCCACACCATAATCCCCCTTCCACCAAAATTTACATTTGGCACAATGCAGTCAGGCAAGTACCATTGTCATAACCACCAAACTAAGACATGTCCATCGGATTGCCAGACAGAGAAGCATTCACTGCAGAGAACATGTCTCCACTGCTCTAGAGTCCAGTGGTGGTGTGCTTTACACCACTGCATCCCAATGCTATGCAGTGCACTTGGTGATATAAGGCTTGGATGCAGCTGCTCAGCCATGGAAACCCATTCCATGAAGCTCTCTATGCACTGTTGTTGTGCTAATCTGAAGGCCACACAAAGTTTGGAGGTCTTTAGCTGTTGACTCTGCGGATAGTTGGTGACTTCTGTGCCCTGTGCGCTTTAGCATGTGCTGACCCTGCTCTGTGATTTAGGTGACCTACCACTTTGTGGCTGTTATTGGCTGAGTTGCTGTTGTTCCCAGTTGCTTCCATTTTCTTATAATACCACTAACAGTTGACTGTGGAATATTCAGTAGAAAGGAAATTTCACAGATGGACTTATTGCACAGGTGACAACCTATCATGGTACCACGCTTGAATTCACTGAGCTCCTGAGAGTGACCCATTCTTTCACAAATGTTTGTAGAAGCAGTTTGCAAGCCTAGGTTCTTGATTGTATACACATGTGGCCATGAAGGTGATTGGAACACTTGAGTCCAATGACTTGGAGGGTTGTCCCAATACTTTTACCAATATAGTGTATGTGTGGATGGAGGTATCAGCTTCAGCTTATTTAACCTTTACTCTTCCCAAAGTTGTTTTTGCATTTTTTGCACACGTATATAAAATCATTTTGGGTCTGAGCTTGCATAAACCCTAAAACATGATAAATTTTATGAAAGCAACACCCTATAGTATAAAATATTGGTAGTTCTAATTTTTTATGTCACAATATTAGTGCAACAGTTTAGGAAATGCAAAATGTCATTAAAACATGCACTAAAGTGAGTGTTAGGGCACACAAACACAATAAATTAGCCAATTTTTAGCAAAATAAAAAAAGATGAGTTTGTGCTGAGTAAATAGATACCCAATATGTCAAACCTAAAATCTGCATGCACCCATGAAATAGCAATAAACTTCAGCTCCCTATATTTTCCACAGGCAATACTTTTAAAGCCCCTACAGGTCATCAGTTTAGGGTCAACCATACATAATGACCCTAGATTATTGATCTCACCCCAGCCTGCATAGTGATATGTGACGTGTGTCACAATTGACGTTTTTGCACATAGGCTCCCCCAACACTTGCATTTATGTTCATAAATGCATGCATTTGGGGATGAGGGGGTTCAAATCTTTTTGGGGGGGGATTTTAAGTGCTTGGGTGTAACTTTTATATATTTACGCTTTTTAAAAGTATTTTTTTTTTTGTACTAAACTTTTTTTTCATCACATAGGGAACAAAAATTCCCTTACGCAATGCAATTTTTTATGGCAGGTTTTCTTTAATGCGTCATCAGGGACATCTAAAAGACTCATATTGTCTCACCTGTCCTCCAATGAATCTAATGGAGTGCATACTCAGCTTGTTCAATTAAGCTTTGACAAAAAAAATTGAAAGCCGATTAGCTTCTAAGCAGAGCTACACCAGATTTTGCACTTTCCAGTTTTAGTAAATCAACCCCTATGTGTGTCTTGTTAGGTGTTCTAAGTGTAACCCATTGAAATGCTATTACTTGCAATACATTAAAATGGACATTAGATGGTGGTGGTCTGCCATTCAGTATCCCTCCCATTGACAGAACAGCCCTCTGAAACTTGCATACTGTATAGCAGAGACTACATTTCCCAAGAGAGGTAGGGTGTGGGTGGGAGCATATAAATATCAAAGCCTGGGAGACTGGCCAGGAGAATGCGGGGAGAGACTGAAGGAGATGTGCTGACAGCTGAAGAGCTGTACTAGGCCACGGAGCCAGAGTTGGAGAGAAAGGAAGAGTAGAAAGATCCTACTGACCGCTCAGTCTCAGTGGCTCTGAGGAAGAGGTTGTGTCCTCGAAACGTGTTAGCCAGTTGGTCATCCAGGGTTCCATCTTATGGATGTTGTTTGGATCATACATCTTGTTCACTTTGACATGCCTGTGTTTTTATGTCTATTGTGAGTATGATACTTACTTTATTTCTTCAATAAATATTTTAAACAATAATGCACTAGGTCGGTGCACCCTTTTTCTGTTTCTCCATTTGCATCCAGTGTATTTGGACCACCCCGGTCTGTTGAGGGCAGCAAGAAGTGCATATTCCAGAAAATTCCAGAACACTGCTATTGGGTCTACTGACTCTTTTCCTAGCACAGGAGAAAAGTGTTTGTTGTGTTGGATTCACACTGCCCAGCAGGCCAATCAGACAGGAGACCAGACGGGACGCCGAGTCTGAACTGGGGAGTCCATGGACTGACCCCATTTGCAGAGAGAGACAGACCGCTATGATCTGCCAGACTACTTGTTCGGGTGAGAGAGACCCATGTACCCACTAACCAAGTGAATACTGACAGCTTGCCACCTTAGCCATCTACAACACAACTGTGAACAATACACATAGTTGTCTCAGTGTGCAGCCTAGTTCGCACAGACTCCATCATTGAGATACATCTACATTACAGTTTAATCATACAAGCTGACCGCAGGACATACAGTTGCAGGCCAGGATACAGCAGTGCCAATTTAAACAAGTTTCACTTTTTCAACAAAGCAGGATTCCCATTACTGCTTATCTGTGCCTATAATTTACAGATGGAGCTGTCTTTTGCCAATAGACATTTATGTGCCAATTGTTGCTGATCATTACTTCAAGCTTGTCCCATGTTTGCTGCTTTAAAGGGGACCCCGCCCTAATTCGCTACCATCAAGAGGAAAAGTGTTCAGTCTCCCTTGTTCCTTCACTATCTTTGTGTTACCATCCCAAGGAACTATATTCCACACCTCAACTCAACTTCATACCAACTTGGGCCCAAGGAGTGTGTAGAACACATTGTAGTGTTCTTAAAGGGACAGTGCTCAGTTTTAAATGAGAATTCTCTTTACTTCACATCTAATCTTTATCATCTAGTTCTGAGGACCCACAGTGAGCTTACCGGTTTCTTGATAATTGTTTTTTGCTCACTGGGGATTCGACAGTCCCCTCAGGTTGGAGGCAGTGGATTATTTTTGGATGCAGGCCTACTAACAGTTATTGTTGCTTCATGGTGAATGTTGTTACTTTTTGCTTACAATTACGAAGAGTGATTATATTTGCTGCATATATCAATGTCATTTTGTTCTTTTTGACTAAGTTACCTTTAATTCCAATATAAACTTCATTTTGGTTTATCCTAATTTTTGTGAGTCCATTTTGCAGTTGTGATTTACTTTGGTCACAAGAGCACAGCGGTGTCAGCAGAGAGAGATTGACAGGGAACACAAAACAATTACTAAGCAACCTTTAAGGGGATAGTGCTACATAAGGCAACTAAGTGCATGGCCACTAAAAGTGGATTACCACACTTTAACTACTTTGAGCCACTGTTCTAATAATGTGTGGTCATCTTTAACCACTTGAAGTCTGCCCTATAGCAGTTTTGCTGTTACAGGGTGGACTCCCTGCGCAAAATCATGTATATAAACATGATCAGCACTCCCGACGTATTCTCGGGCCATGGCCAGTGGTGCTGTGATTTAGTACAGCACCTATCACTCACCAAATCCAGGCCAATGATGTTTAGACTGGACCTGCTGATCAGTTTTACTGAATCAAAACTCATCCTGTGTCTGTGTTTACAGAACACAGGCACAGGAAATAATGCGACTTTCTCTCTCTGGAGCACATTCCCAGTTCAGAGAGAGAAAAAAGCAGATCCACATGAGTAAAAGCAGCACACTGACACTTAAAAAGTTAGGTCACATTTAACTCCCTGATTGCCCCCCAGTTGACCATTTCATTGCCCTGTCACCAGTGTCATTAGTACAGTGTACAGAATTTTTTTACTGATCACTGTATTAGTGTCAGGGGCAACTTCAGATAGCATCAGTTAGCCTCCCTCCCAGATGGCATCAGATTGCCCGCCACTACTTTACCATCACACTTAGCCCTTTGATTGCCAAGAATACGCTTACATACACACTATAAGCCTCCATTGCTATTATAGTGTCTGAATGGATCAATATCTTTGATCAGATCAGAACTATACTAGCGTTCACAATAGTACAGTGTCCCCATAAATGCATTATTAGCAGGATCAACCCCAACACCTACCAGCACCTGCATTTAGCCCACTTGGCCAACCCCCCCAGCAAGTGCAGTGTCAGTAGATCATAGTACACACAAAACTGCAAGGTTAGCAAGATCAGTCCTGATCTCTGCTAGCACTAGCAGGTATATTTTTTGTAGCAGTTCAAGCAGCTCCTGACAGCCAGGTGCTGTTTTTTTTTACCTGTGAGTCACATTAGGTACCTAGAAATTTAGTGGCCAAAATGACAAAGTGAAGAGGTCTACAGGATTCCAAGTATGTCAGGTAAAAGCAAAGAGGAAGCCTCACTGACAGAATTAGGCTCAGAATACGAGCCTGTAGAGAGCAGTGGCACTCTGACAGATAGCTCAGACTATGGGGAAGAAGTCCCTGCTAAGGTCATATGTGCTCAGGTTGCTGAGGTGTTACAATTTCATGATGATTCTCATTTGCAGCAAAGTACCAGTACTAGTGCCACACTACCTTTTGGTGAACTGGCCAGCGCCAGAGGCCTAGTACATCCTGGTCTTTTACATACCAGCACTGCAGTATCACCTGGTGACATGCAGAGTCCCCATAAATGCAGTACAAGCTGGTGCAGTGGCAAGCACAAGTAGTGTCTCGCAGCCACCAAGAATTCAAACACAGACTCATAGAGCCCATAGTATCCTTCTGGCTGTACTTGCAAATCCTGATTGGCAGCCCACAACTTCTGCAGCACCTGTACTTCCCCCATTCACAGTCCAACCCAGAATTCAGGTGGAAACAGCAAATTTAACTATTCCCCCTGATTTTTGGAGCTGCTGTTTTTCACAGATGATCTGTATTAACTGATTGTGGACCAAAACAATTTATGCGCAGGGCAATTTATTGCCACCAACCCAAATTCAAACCTTGCTCAACCGCTTGCATGGAAACCTATTACGGTTTCGGAGTTTAACATTTTTTAGGGCCTAACCCTCAACATGGGCATTACTAAACAGAATGAGTTGCCGTCATATTGGTCCACAGACCCAATTCATCCTATGCCCATGTTCTCTGCTGCCATGGCCAGGCATAAATATGAGAATATACTGAGATTTATGCATTTCAATAACAATACACTCTGTCGTCCTCGGGTTGACCCTAAAAATGATAGGCTCCACAAAATGCAGCCCCTCGTAAAGCACCTTAACCAGAAATTTTCAGATGTGTATAGGCCCCATCAAAACATCTGCATTGATGAGCCCCTTATTAGTTTTTCTGGCCGCCTTGCATTCAAACAGTTTCTCCACAGCAAGCATACCAGATATGGAGTCAAAATGTATAAGTGCTGTGAGAGGGCGACAAGCTATATATGTAATTTTTGGAATTACGATGAAAAGAGTCAAACGGAGCCCCCCCCAGATGCCCAGACTACATGGGGAGCAGTGGCAATATAGTTTGGGACTTGGGGTCACCCCTTTTTCCTTATCGGGTACCACTTATATGTGAACAATTTTTATACAAGCGTGCCACTATTTAGACATTTGTACAATCTTGGAATTGGCCCATGTTGTACTGTGCAACCTAATTGCCGGGCTTCCCCAAATGGCTTGTAAATACCCAACTTAGAAAGGGGGAGAAAGCCTGCTTCAGAATTAATGAATTGCTCCCAGTGAAGTGTAAGGACAAGTGGGATGTTTTATTTCTGCCTACCAACATGGGAGGGGAGGACTTCAAGGACTAGATGATGAAGCTGTACTTAGTTTTCCCATAAATCCAGATGCTGGTATAAAAGAGTCTCTGTATATTTATTTCAATTGACTCTTTACAGCGCTTTTATGCTTTACAAAGCAACTGAACAAAGTGGATCCTTCCTAAAATTTCAGAAAGGGATCATCTCAGCCCTTTTGTATCCAGAAGGTGCTGTGATCCAAACCCCCAACCCAGATGCAGTTAGCCGGCTGCATGAGAGGCATTTTCCTGATGCCATTACTGTTACCCCAAACTCAAAAGTCACCACAAAAAAGATGTTGTTTCTGTATCAGACACGGAATTAGACGTGACACCCACTTTTTTTGTCCCTCCTGTCCTGGCCAACTTGGTCTTTGCTTCAAGCACTGTTTCCATCGCTACCACACACTAGTGGCGTGTTAGTGTAGGGTACAGCACGACACTGTCTAGGGTACACATTTACACAGGGTCTCAAAAGATGTTAGGTAGTCAGGAAACTGGCTATCACATTTTGAAAGACCCAAAAATCAGTCTGGAAAGTTTAAAAGTTGGTGGCGTTGTTGGATGTGATGGAGAAGTCAGTGGGGGGTGGTGTCCGGGCTGGGGGGGAAGACAAGAAACTCGGTTTTGGAGAGGTTCAGTTTAAGGAAGTGGAGCGACATCCAGTCTGATATGTCGCTCAGTAGGTGATTCGGGCAGAGACTGAGGAGGTGAGGTGGGGGGTTGAGAGATAGATTTGTGTGTCGTCGGCATAGAGGTGGTAGTTGAAGCCGTGAGAGTGTATGAGTTGGCCAAGGGAGGAGGTGTAGATGGAGAAGAGAAGGGGCCCAAGGACAGAGCCTTGAGGGACCCCAACAGAGAGGGGGAGTGAGGGGGAGGTGGTAGCATTATAGGTAATGCTGAAGGAGCGTTGTGACAGGTAGGATGAGAGCCAGGAGAGAGCAGAATCTCTGAGGCCGAGGGAGTGTAGTTTTTTTTGAGGAGGGGGTGGTCGATTGTGTCGAAGGCAGCAGAGAGGTCAAGGAGTAGGAGCACTGAATAGTGGCCATTAGCTTTGGCGGTTAGCAGGTCGTTGGAGAGTTTGAGTAAGGTGGTTTTGGTGGAGTGTAGGGGACGGAAGCCTGACTGTAGGGGATCGTGGAGGTGGTTGTCGTTGAGGTGAGAGCATAGGCGGGTGTAGACGAGGCGCACGAGGAGTTTAGATGTAAATGGGAGCAGGGAGATGGGTCTGAGGTGTTGTTCGGGTCATTGGGGTCCAGGGAGGGCTTTTTAAGTATGGGGGTGATGTGTGCATGTTTCAGAGGGGAGGGGAAAGTGCCTGAGGAAAGGGAGAGATTGAAGATGTGGGTGAGGGAGCGTAGGATGGAGGGGGGAGGGAGGTCGTAGGAGTTGTGAAGGGATAGGGTCGAGGGGGCAGGTGGTGAGGCGGGCATCAGAGAGGATCTTGGAGACTTCCTCGATGGTAGTAAGGTCAAAGGTGCGGAGTGTTGGGGGAGCTTCAGTATGAGGAATGTAGGGTGGGGTGGAAGTGGAGGTCAGAGCAGTGGTGGGGGCCGTAGGAGAGGGGTGATGAGGGGGTAGCTGAGTGAGGGGGAACGGGGTTGGAGGGAGTTTGAGCAGCGACAAAGTCCCTGTGGGTTATGTCCAGGGGGAAGGGTGATGAGGGGGTAGCTGCGTGAGAGGGGGACGGGTTGAGAGGGGCGTGTGAGTTGTGGCGATGTCCTTGCGAATTGTGTCAATCTTGTTTTTTAAGTGATTGGCAATCTCAAGGGCAGTGAGTGAGGTGCTGGGTGGAGGTGGGGGTGGAGAGAGTAGAGAGTTGAAGGTGGAGAAGAGTCGGCGAGGATTGGAGGAGAGGGTCTTGATGAGGGTCAGGAAGTAGGCTTGTTTGGCTGCGTGGAGGGAGGAGGTGTAGGTGTGGAAGGCAGATTTGTAGCGGATGAAGGCTTGTTGGGATTTGGTTTTGCGCCATAGTCGCTTCAGGGCACGACTGTGTCGTTTGAGGGTTTTGGTGTGATCAGTCTGCCAGGGCTGGAGCGGTCGGGGTCTGATGTTGCTTGTGATTAAAGGCGCTTGTGAGTCAAGGGCTGTTTACAGCGCGTTGTTGTAGGCAGTCATAGCCAAGTCGGGGCAGGACAGGGGGAGGATGCTGTCATGGAGTTGAACAGCTGCAGAGTGGAGGGGGGCAGGGTTAAGGTTGCAGAGGTTACGGCTGGTAGTAGTGTGACATTTGGAGGGGTAGGCGTTGGAGGACGAGGAAATAGAGAAGGTAATCAGGTTGTGGTCAGAGAGAGGAAAGGGGGTGTTAGTGAGGTTGTGGGGAGCGCAGCGGTTGGAGAAGACAAGATCAAGTGTCAGGGCTCCAGGGTATGACCAGAGGTATGTGAACTGACGCAGGGAAACGCAGGCTTCAGATATGTTATAAACAATATAATTTATTAACACTAACAATACATAAACGCAGTGCAATACTAAAACATAACACAGTACAAACGAACCAAACCAAACCACCCACAGATAACAATACATACAATGCAAGCGTCGTCAGGCAGGCCGGGGTCAATAACAATCGGGCAGGTAGGAACAGGAGGAGCAGGCAGAGAGTAGTCAGGTCACGAGCCGGGTACAGCAACTAACGGGCAGGTAGGTACAGGGGGTCAGGCAGAGAATGGTCGGGGTCACAAGCCAGGGATCAAACAGGAGAAGTCAGCAGAGGTCCGGATCAGGCAGGGTCAGCAACGAATCAGTCAGACAGGGACAGGAACAGGAACAGGAATGCAGGTAACAAGTTACAGGGGCCCAGGAAAAACACACACCAAGGCACAGACTGCAGGTCTGGCCATCCCTTAAATACACCTGCAAAATCAGCTTCAGGTGTTTGGCTGGCTGCAGGGTTGAGTCTCTGATTGCTGAGAGCACCCGCTGGCCAGCCCTGGTACTGCAGCCCACAAGGCAGGTGAGTCCCACCATTACTGGCAAGTCCATTCCTGACAGTACCCCCCCCCCCTCAAGGAGCGGCCTCAGGACGCTCCAAACAGTCCTAGCTGGGCAAAATGTTCCACCGCCCGGGTCTGGTAACTGGCGGGATATCAAAGACTGGCACATCGGGCTGGACTCCGGGCAGCAGCACATCGGGCAGGACTCCGGGCAGCGGCAGATCGGGCAGGACTCCGGGCAGCGGCACATCGGGCAGGACTCCGGGCAGAGGCACATCGGGCAGGACTCCGGGCAGAGGTACATCGGGCAGGACTCCGGGCAGAGGCACATCGGGCAGGACTCCGGGCAGAGGCACATCGGGCTGGACTCCGGGCAGAGGCACATCGGGCTGGACTCCGGGCAGAGGCACATCGGGCTGGACACCGGATCACTAGGCGGAGCAGCAGGCACCGGGCCCCCAGGCGGAGCGGTGGACACTGGATCACCAGGCTGAGCAGCAGGGCGCCGGGCCACCAGGCGGAGCAGCAGGCGCCCAGGCCACCAGGCGGAGCAGCAGGCACTGGGTCATCAGGCATTGGATTGTCTGACTCGACAGCGGGCATCGGGTCACCAGGCATGACAGCGGGCACTGAGTCATCAGGCGTGATAGGATCATCAGGCTGGATCAGTTCATCAGGCTGGGTAGAGACATCAGGCTGGGTAGAGACATCAGGCTGGGTAGAGACATCAGGGCTGAAGTGCGGGTGCCGAGGCACCAGGCTGAACCACGGAAGGCAGGTTCTCAGACGGCAGGCTCACCGGTTTGGATACTGGCAGGATGGTACTGGTTGGGAAGAATTTTCGCTTTTTTCTGGTTTTAGTTACCGGAGCACTGTAAGTAAGCGCAGGTTTGTAAACGGATGGAGCAGCTGGAGACAGAGAAGAGCTGGAGGATGGAACAGGGGAGGGTGCAGTTGCTACAGAGGGCTTCTTTACAGTGTTAAAGGCAGGATAGGTGCAGCGAGTGGGAACAGGGTACTGACATGCGGTAGATATCAGGGTATACTGGGCTGTAACTGGAGGTGCTGTTGGGAATTCAGGAATAGAGCTTTGAAGAAGGCTGACTGAGGCTGGGTGTAACAAATATGTCCATGTCTGCAGTACGGGTTGAACAAAGCTCTGCTTACACAAAGCCTGTCTGACCAAAGATTGCACTGCGTTTATACAATCCCTTAATACCTGTGGTGAACATGCAGCATAATGCTCCAAGAAGCAATCCACATCATCCTCTAATAACCATACCAGGGACTCTACCTGGTCTGCACTAAATGGTGGCAAAAAGTCATTCCTGCTTTCAGGGGTACCAGATGAAGCCAACTCTACACAAACCTGAATCAAAGGTTGCACCTCAGAGAACTCTGTGCCCTGATCTACTAGAACATGAGCGATCCGTATACATTCTAGCAGTTGATCCCGGGTATACTCCTCAGAGTCTGATAAGCATATTCTCTGTCATCAAAAACCAGCAGCGACAAATACACAACCTCATCAAGATCCATCCTTCCCCGCAACAAGCCAAGATGGCTTCCCTGTGCAGCCACTTCTGGTCAGGATTGGCCTTGGTGTAATGTCAGGGCTCCAGGGTATGACCAGAGGTATGTGAACTGACGCAGGGAAACGCAGGCTTCAGATAAGTTATAAACAATAAGACAATTTATTAAAGACTAACAATACAAACAAAAACGCAGTGCAATACTAAAACATAACACAGTACAAACGAACCAAACCAAACCACCCACAGATAACAATACATACAATGCAAGCGTCGTCAGGCAGGCCGGGTCAATAACAATCGGGCAGGTAGGAACAGGAGGAGCAGGCAGAGAGTAGTCAGGTCATGAGCCGGGTACAGCAACTAACGGGCAGGTAGGTACAGGGGTCAGGCAGAGAATGGTCGGGGTCACAAGCTAGGGATCAAACAGGAGAAGTCAGCAGAGGTCCGGATCAGGCAGGGTCAGCAACAAATCAGTCAGACAGGGACAGGAACAGGAACAGGAACAGGAACAGGAACAGGGATGCAGGTAACAAGATACAGGGGACCAGGAAAAACACACACCAAGGCACAGACTGCAGGTCTGGCCATCCCTTAAATACACCTGCATAATCAGCTTCAGGTGTTTGGCTGGCTGCAGGGTTGAGTCTCTGATTGCTGAGAGCACCCGCTGGCCAGCCCTGGTACTGCAGCCCACAAGGCAGGTGAGTCCCACCATTACTGGCAAGTCCATTCCTGACATCAAGGATATTACTGTTGGAGTGGGTGGTGGATTGTATGCACTGTGCAACTGCAAAGGAGGAGGTTAAGTGGAGGAGATGGGTTGTCGAGGTTGACAGGGATGTTGAAATCCCCAAGGATGATGGTGGGTAGCTCAGAGGAGAGGAAGAAAGGAAGCCAGGAGGAAAAGTCATCCAGGAAGCAGGGTATGGATCCAGGAGGCCGGTATATCACAGTAATCTTCAGGGGGGTTGGGGAGAATAGTCGGACGCAGTGGGCCTCGAAGGAGGAGAAGGATAGGGAGGGGGGGTTTGGGAGGACTCGGAAGGTGCTCTGCGGTGACAGGAGCAGACCAACCCCACCACCTTTACGACCGTTAGGCCTGGGTGAGTGGGTCCAGGTGAGACCTCCGTAGGAGAGTGCAGCGGGGAAGGTAGAGTCAGTGGCCTGGATCCAGGTTTCCGTAATCGCAAGGAGGTTGAGAGAGCGGGAAACAAAGAGGTCGTGGATGGCGGTAAGTTTGTTGCACACCAATCGGGCATTCAGGAGTGCATATGAAAACGGGGGGGAGATTTTAGGGAGCAGGGGGACAGATACTAAGTTGTGGAGGTTGCGGCGGGACGTGGAGGCGGGAAGGTGTTGTGCCAGTGAGGGAGGTGGTGGAGGGTCAGGATTCGGGGAGATGTCCCCTGCGGTTAGGAGGAGGAGAAGGGTGAGAAAGGTGAATAAAAAAGTTGTTGCTTTATTGAGTTAATGTTTTTTTGTTACTGTGTTTTATTGTTAACCATTGTTTTCTTTTCAGGGACACCATTCAGCTGCAGCACCAATCTGTTTATTCTGACAGCAACAGGGTGTGCTATCAAAATTTACATCAGTGCGTGCAGTGTTTCTGGGTGAGATTTCTCATCCGCAGTTAGAAAAAGAACATATATGCCAAAGCATGGAGGCCTGGGGTGGTCAGTGGGTGGATTGCTCCTATGTTTTGGCATATATTTTTACTTTTTTTTGGCAGAGATTTATTCATCTACATTGATCAATGTGAATGGAGCAATCGGTTCTTTTTTGTACAAAGAACATTTCATGTATTCCCAATATTAGAAGTAGATGGATGAAGAGCAGTATATTCTAATGGTGAGCATACCACACACTTTGTTTGGCAGCGATGTCTCTTTTCATTCAGCTCACAGACTGCATAAAAAGAGAACAACATATGTGCCCAACAAGGACAAGCAATGTACCGGTGCATCACTGAACTTTGAGTGGTTATACCTGGATGATGCCTGCAGATACAGGCATCATCTTGGTATTGTTTTTTTTTTTAGCCGGCGGTCAACTTTCATGTAAAGGTAATGTTAGTGGCTAATTAGCCACTGGATTGCTTTTACAAGCAGTGAGAAGGGACACTCCTTCCCCCCCCCCCCCCCCCTGAATTCCATGGCTTTTTTGGGCTGTTCCGTCCCATTGGGGAACCTGAGAATGCAACTGGCGTTTCTGCCAGCTGACCATAGAGCTGATTGGAGACCGGAACAGCTCTAATCAGCTCTATAGTCTAAGGAACTAGAATATAAATAGTGCCATTTTTAAATTGGGAAAGCATCTGATCACACTGATCTTGGTGTGATCAGCAAATAGTTTGAGGTGTCTACTTTCTAAAAAGAGGTCATTTGGGGAGGGAGGGGTTGTGCTATCCTGGTATTTCAGAGCCTCTGAAACTGTGATCGGTAGTGTGGAAATGAAATGAGGAAATTACTTACCTTCAGGCTTTCAAAGAGGTCATTGGATTTTGGGCTCCTGTATGTGGCTAGGCTTCCAAAAAGTCTCACACATGTGGTATCCCCATACTCGGGAGAAGTGGTAGAATACTTTTTGGGTGTTATTTCACATATACCTATGGTATGTGGGAGCAATATACCATTTAATTTACAACTCTGTGTAAAAAAAAAAATATATATACGTATATTTTTTGTAATTTTCCAAAACGTTTGGAAAAAAATTAAATCTTTCATGGACTCAATGTGCTTCTCGGCAAATAGCTTAGGGTGCCTACTTTCTGAAAAGGGGTAATTTGGGGGTTGTGTATACTGCCCTGGCATTTTTGCACCTCAAGAATTGTGATAGGTAGTCAGATAGTAAAAGCTGCATAAATTCCAGTATCTATACCATAGTTTGTAGATGCTATAACTTTCACACAAACCAATTAATATACACTTATTGGGATTTTTTTTTACCAAAGTCATGTAGCAGAATACATTTTGGCCTAAATTTATAACGAAATTTGAGTTTATTGGATGTATTTTATAACAAAGTAGAAAATATCTTTTTTTTTCAAAAAAAGTTTTTTTTTTTTTTTCATTTATATTGCAAAAAATAAAAACCCAATGGTAATCAAATACCACCAAGAGAAAGCTCTATTAGCAGTTAGCAGTTAAAGAAGCGCAGTGATGAATGCTGAAATTCCCTGGTCAGGAAGGGGGTAAAACCTTCTGGAGGTCAAGTGGTTAAAGAAGTAGCCACTCAGGAATGAACACAATTAGGCAATTACAGATAAATAAAGATCAAAGCCCTCAAAACTGCAGAATAATAAAGAGAGAGCTGTGGGGTAGGAATGAGAATATTGCATTGTTATTAGCAGATAAGCAGAATATCTATACATTAAACATAATAGGATGTTTCAGTATTAGATGCCTTGAAAAGTATGCCCTGTATGCAGAGAAATTCTATTTGACCAGGGCTCTTTTTAAAGTTTATGTTGTTATGCTTTGTAGACAGGAATAAAGAGTTATGCATAGAGTACTCCTGGCGTATGTCTGCTGAAATGTTTGAAGTGTCTGTTCTACACGAGAGCTCTGAGATCCAGATTTGTGGAATATTGGAGGATGTGTAATCTCATGTGGTGACCTACATTGTGAAGGCAGATGTCTAGTACTTCACTCAAGACAACAATATGTACCTCACCAATTATGCATCTAATAAATATGAAAGGATCCCAGTTATATATTCCTAGCCAATATACAGTAGGTCATATGTAAAACTTCATGAACACACAATTGTTTTAGAAACTGTAACAAAATGATTTCATTTAATTTTTCATTTCTTCAGTAATGTGTGAAAGGAGTCTCAGTGTGTTTAAAGATCAGCCAGGCAATTGTGTAAAAATAATATATTCTGTAAGAAGAACCCCCCCCACAAAAAAAGAAATGAAAAACAATTTTTAAAAAAATATATATATATATATATATCTATTCAGTCATATCCGACCCTTGGCGATTGCATGGACCGTCACTCGTAAGTGGCCTTTTCCCATGAATTCTCTTAGCAATTATTTTTACAGGGTAGGTTGCAAGGTCTTTCCCCAGCCCCTACAATGCAGGAGATCCTGTATGGCCAGAGATGAAGCTAGGACAATTTAGACATGAGTCAATTAACCTACCAGCATGTCTTTGGAGTGTGGGAGGAAACCGGAGTACCAAGAGGAAACCCACACAAGCACAGGGAGAAACATGCAAACCCCATGCAGGAGACGCC